CTCCTCCCGGCAGCTTTGTCTGCTGCCCGCGCCTCCTGGCGACCCCTCCCACCCCTCCGTCCTCGGGCGGGCGGCGGCTCCGCTGTTCGGGAGCAACTCCCCGGTCGCTCCGTGTGCGCTTGTTATGGGTTTTTTCCCCTCCGCGTCCCTTCCAGGGTTGTGCGAGTGGAACCCTGTGAGGTGGGTCCTCTCCTGCCCCCCGGTGCCCCTCCTGTTGCGCTTCCTGAGGAGACGTTTTGCCTCGCAGTTTAAGTCTTCAGTATCTTCCGTGTCCTTTAGGGCGACTCGGAAAGCGGGATGGCGAGGGATGGCATGTCGCTAGCTGGCACTGCGGCAGTGTCTAGTCCCGTAGCTGCAGCACGTTGCCCTGGTGCTCTTTGCATGTCTTCTTAATTGCCGTAAAACAGCGTGTGGGGTAAAAAGACAGAGGACTGGTTTTTCTAGGGTTTGCGTCCTTTTTATAATCACAGTGATGCTGGAGACGTGTTCCTGTTTTCAGTGGTTTCATGCTTTGGCTGCCTGAACTGTGAAGAGCACACTTGCCTTCTAGGAGAGTTAAGGCCTAACTCATTTCTGTCTGTGGAATACTTGAAGACATGTGAAAACAAGCTATCAACACGTCAGATGTTATATTATTGATACTTTTCATGATAGAGCTTTTGAAGCCCCTGAGTTGTGTACACACTTTGGGGCTCAAAATCTGTATTTCTGTTTGTGTGTCTAGATGTCTCAGTTGTTTGAAGATGAAAAATCTAAATTATTGTATTTTTTCCAAGATACTTGCTTTCAGTCTGCGTTACTGTCTCTTAGTTACAACTGGGGAAGGCTTTCATACTGGTAGTCAAGGTTCTCTGCTGGAAGACAGATGGCTTTTTCTTCTGTCACTGCAAATCATAGGATCAAAGTAAAATCGACATGGGTATATATTCCTGTGTTGGAGAGTTGATGCTAACTGGTGAGAAGCAGTAATGAAGAGGAAAAAAAAAAAAACAAAACCCAGTGAGAAATAGAGATGGGGATGATGCAGATACATGGTGAGGAGACAGATGGAGCAGTGAACCAGAAGTGAGTCACTGAGATCTGAGACTGGGAAAGAGACTGTGCCCTTTTCCCTTCTGACTTTTGAGATGTACTTCACGTTTAAAAATCTTGCTAGGTGGAAATTACTGAAGAGTGATTATGTACAGAGAGTCTGGAACAGCACATTAATGCACAATGACACGTTCTTTTGAAAATGAGTTGCTGGATCCAAGCTTGGCAGCTACAGATCTAGGAGTATGTTAGACTTACCTGCCACTAAACAGCCATTGGCTCCAGTCGTGGTACCTGATTTCCTACCAGTTGCTTTGTACGTAATTTAGGAAGCATGCATTCTGGAAATCTAGAGCTCTCTTTGCTCTGCGGCTTCACTGTGTCTTTCCAGCAACTTATTTCTTCAGTATTATGTAATAATGGAATGGAACTTGCCCACGACTGCTAAGTAAGGAACAGTCTTTTGAGATTCATAGTAAGACATTGCTTATGTGGTGATAGAAGATCTTGTTCCCTGTGCTTTAGTATGTAATAGAAATGGAGCCTTTTCTGTAGAGTATTTGTGTGCCATTAACTCTGCAAAGGTACAGCAAATTTCTGTGTTCTTAATAAGGAAATGGAGATTAAAAGATTTCTAAAACGGTCTTTGTTTCCTGCCTTTCTGTGGGTTTTTTTTGGATAGTTTAAGCAAACTGTATAAGCAGTAGGGCTCCACAAACTGCTGGAATGTGCTTTTGGTTCTGTGTGTTACGAAAGGTTTATTGGAATCAAAATGTCTTCCTGTGTAGAATTCCAAATGCAGATTTTGTGCAAATGCATGTATTTTGGCTCCCTGTGATGGTGTAATTTCAGTAGAGGAGTTTGTTAATGTGAAGGTTAAAATGCTAGCAGGAATAGAACTTTAGTGCAAAAATATCATTATTCATTTCTGCCCCTTACATCTGCCATTGTGCATATTTGGAAAGAGAAATAAAAAAACATCACCCTTTTGGATATTTATTCTGTTTAGTCTATGGAACCATCTTAAGTGAACTGTGTATCTTGGGCACGTCATTCTGGATCTCTTGTTTTATTCTGTTGGTGTTTTAGCTTGGGATCCTTCATTTTGCCTTTCATTTTTGTATGTAGGAGTGAAAATTGTTTTAATAATAACTCCCAAGCTCTTATTTATAGCCCTTCAGTCTTAGCATTTGATGTTGAGAATTGCCTTTATTCCTTTTTTTTTTTTTAAATAAATGTAGGAAAAATAGGTGACCTAGCTGTCTCAGATTCACCCAACTACTCATTTGCTGTTAGAAAAATATCCTGACAACTAAGGCAGACTATTTTTTTTTTCCTAAATATGACTTCAGCTTTTTATTTGAAAGACTAATTAGGCTTTACTTCATGTAACATTATAAATAAGGGAAGATATGTTACACTTTTGCTTCCATCCTGGAGTGTATTCTCATCTCCTTCTGCTTTTAGTTTTTGAAGAGCTGTGGGTTTTTGGAGACAGTATGTTAATAAATACACTGATACAAAGTCAAAGAGAACATTGTTGCTATCCTTGAAGGAGCAGTCTGTCCCACTATCAAATACAATGTGCTGGAGGAGGTGTAGGATGTTCTAGCTTGTTCTACAGGTAGTTGAAGCTGTCCTCTCCTTGTGAGACTGTGTATCCCCCTGCCTATTTATTTTTTTTCTTGAACCGTGTGGGTTATACGAAGAGGGCAGGCTCATGTTTTGCTTTGTCTTACTGAACTGCACAGCTGCCACAAAGAGTGTTCCTACTCTATTTTCTTTTCGCCTATTCCCAAGGCCGAGTCACACCTTTCTCTTGCTTCTCTTATCCTGAACCTAGTGAGTGTGCTGATGTGGAAAATCTGTGCAACTTTCCCACCCAGTGGAAGACTTTGGAAGAATTAATTTGGATCATCTTGCCAAATTGATTTCTGCACAGATGTACAATGGTAGAGCTGTTGTGTGAGGGACTGGAGCCCAGAACATGTGTTCCTGTGTTGGAGGGGAAGAAGGATTTCCCATGCATGGCCCCTGTGCTCTCCCACTCTTTAGCAGTATCCCATTGTAAAATCTCTGTATGGTGTAATGTTCTGTGGAAACATCTGTGAGCCACAATCAGAAACGTGGCTTTTGCGTGGGCCCGGATTGTTCCTTGCTGTGAACCTTCCTCTTGGTAATCTTGGGTTTTGGATTAAGTCAGTTCATAATAAAGATTTCTGTACCTTGTGAGCACTGAGTAAATGTACTGTGCAGGTTGGGAAGGAGGTGTGCAACGCGCTGCTAGAGGAGCAACTGGGATCATGTTTGACTCCAGGTCTCACTCCTAGCTGTGCGTCTGTTTGATGTCTCTTTCATTAATAATAGACAATGTGTGTATATATTCTGTATCTGGAGGGACAGTCTTTTGTGATGCTTCCTCAAAGCAGCTGTTTGGAAGCATGGGCGCAGATTTACTATCCTGGATTTGGACACTAGAATTAATACTTTTCAGATCAGCTGTCCTTTGCTACTGATTGAGAAGGCTGGGTATTTCACAAAGTCGCCTTTAGTTAAAAAACTCCTCTGACAGTTTTGTTCTTTTTCCATAACCTTTTTAATTTAGGGTCTGAAGTCAAACAGACAGTCTCTTTGTGGAATGAGGACGTTGCCACTGTGATTTTTTTTTGAACAGTTTTATTTGTCCTAAGGGTACTACACACAATTATTAAAAAAACTACTTTCTCTCACAAAATTGCTAATGGAATGGATTCGATGTACACTAGTCATGTAACTACAGAATTTTAGTGAGTTGGTCACGTTATTTACTATTTAATTGTTAAGGGTTCCTTCTATTTGATATTGAAAGCTCTGGTTAATAAATTAAGCAGCCTGTTGTGCCTTGTTTGGGTAGCCAAAGATGCAATTGATTTGGAAACTGAAGGGTTTTTTTATTGGAGTTTGTCTCCAATTCTTTTGAGCCATGCTGCCTTTGAACAGCTTGTCAATCGTTTTGCCACTCAAAATCTGATCCCCTCTAATGAACAGTGCCTTGCTTGCTCTGTGATGAATGCAGACCTTCAGCTTCATTTTTAAAATTATTTGTAATGCTGCTCTGATAGAAGAAAGGAAGATAAACTTATATTGTGTTTCGTAAAAATAAACACAAAACATGTAAGAAACGTTTGCAATTAATGTGATGCTTTCGATGTATATATTGTATATACTACAGTTTCCCTAATTTCTTATGTGCTGTTAGGGAGAGAATGTCTTTTCAAATTCAGAAGGAGACCCAAGGAACTTGAATAAGTATTTATGTATTCAAGAGGGATGTCAACAGTGGGATAACCTTAGGTCACCCTTTCAAAGGCAGCCTGAAGGACCTCTTCGGTCTTTTTAGCTGGTAACAATGAAACCATCCCATCTGCAGGCCCAGGAGCAGGTTTTACCTGAGTAATGAAAGTCTAGGAGAAGGAGAAATTGGCTGCACGTGTTGCTAAAACGAAAGACTACCTGAATCACAGAATATTTCTGTAGGGATTTAGTGAAGTCCTTCTTTTGTTTGGAAAGCTGCTTTGCCTAGCTGTATTTACAACTGTTTGCCAAGATAGATAAAATAGTCTTGATAGGATAAGGGGTCACTCAGCCAGGGAAGGGAGAGTGGAGCATCAAAGTTACGAGCAAAACTGCTCCGGTACAAATTCATACTCCTGATTTTTCACAAATCAGAATTACTTATACTGCATTACGTGCTAAACATCATGGAAGCTGAGAGATGCTTGGGTAATAACATAAGCTCAAAGATCAGAGAAATTTAAGCTTAAGAAATGAGAAATGGGTTGTTTTTCTTCAGTAACAAAGTTAGGAAGGTTGGGGGGCATGTGAGGAGAGGCATGTGTGTGGATTTTTTTTGTGTTTGTGGGTTTGTTTTTTTTTCTTTTTTTCCTAGCAGATGGGAGTATGTTTTCCATCTATTCTAAAGTGTAGTATTTTGTTTTGCACTAGAGGGCTGTTTTTACATAAAAGTAAAAAAAAATGTCAACTTCAAAAACTGCAGATACATGCTGCTTCTTGTCAAGAGCATAGCAATTATAGTGAGCAGTGAGAAATACAGAAATAAGGTTGTGATCATGATTGATTGAATGCTGCTTTTTTTGAAAAGAGATAGTGAACATGATGCAACTCAAACTTTTTTTAAGAACTCCAATTCTTAAATATTTTGTGGCTCTTGTGAGATCGAGCCGTTGAGATCAGTGGGAATTCTATTAATGAAGATATATTAGTTGTTATAACACTTTCCTAATTTTTTTGTTTAAAAATAATAAAAATTATTTGCTTTATCTTTCAACTGTAAAATATAATTTAGGATTTGGGGACTTTTTTGTAGTTCTTATTTAGTGTGTCATTCTGCATGTCGCTCATTGTGTTTCCCATTTTTTTTTAAATATGGAGAGCTGTGTCAAGTAAGTACTTCCATTGGGAATTTTAGACTCCTTTCTGTTTTTTGAAAGATTTGTTCCCGTAAAATTCACTGTGAATCCTGCATGAATAGTTCTGAAGTTAAAAGTCCAAATCATTTCCTGTCTGACCTGAGCTTACCTTCCATTCCTCTAGATTTGGACTCAGCAGGATCGGCAATGCATCCTCGATACTTTAGCGCAGTTGTTACTGGACAAAGAATGTACCGTATTGATTGGCCGCCAAGTTCGGCCGATCTTGTTGGATTTGTTGGAAAGAAATGCAGAAGCCATTAAAGCTGGTGGCCAAATCAACCATGATCGGCATGAAAGGCTGTGTGTAGCCATGAGCAAGCTGGTTGCCGACCACCCTGATGTTTTGCCGTGAGTAACGTAATGTCTCTTGGTGCCATGTTTGAACTTAGGGAGCGTGTGCTTGTCAGTGTTCACTGGTGATGAGAGGTGGTGTTACGATTTGGACTGTCTCCCACAATAGCAAATGTGTTGTGAAAGAATAATGTAGAAAATGTGAGTCTCAGACACAGCTTACTTAATTAAATTATGTTGTAAGATCTAATGTGATTTTCATCTTAATGATCAGAAGCAAAGCAAAACAGCTAGCATGAAAATTGCTCACAACCAAATTCTCTGCGTTTAATATTAGAGCTGTAGGCCAGTAGAATACAAAGTTATGTAAGTAAGAATCAGTGTTACTTTTTCAGTAAATGAGCAATCAAAGAGATTTCACCAAAGGCAGTACTGTTTCCCCTTGATAATTAAGTAATGATTTCTGATAAGGTAACGTATCTGTTGTCAGCTGATTGCTGAAGTGGTTGTCTTTCCCAGGTGTGGACAAAGTTAAATATAGGCCTTAGTTCTCAGTATACTGTCAATTACTGTCTCAGGACCTCTGTCCTGATGTTTTTATTAGTGGCTGTTTTCCTTTCCTCTGGCTTAGATGTCTGTGTTCCATCTCTCCCTCCCTCTTTCTTCTAAAGATTTGCTTTAAGATATTTTAAGAATACATCACCAGTTTTCCAGAGGCTTTTCCTGGAGAGCTCAGATGCAAACACAGTCCGATATGGGCGCAGAAGAATGAAGTTACGGGACCTCATGGAGGCAGCCTATAGATTTTTACAAAAGGAGCAATCAATTTTCCGGGAATTATGGGACTGGAGTGTGTGTATTCCACTCCTAAGGAGTCATGACACTTTAGTTCGTTGGTAAGTTAAACCCTCCAGGTCTTCTCTGTTGAAAAGATGTATCTTTAACTGTATTTAACAATGTTTACATGCAAGTAGAAAAGAATCTTCAAATAATACCAGAAAAAATCTGTAGCAATGGTATCTGTACCTGTGCTTCCTACCTGATCTTTTGAAAGCTGTAGCGATCTGTCACAGTGAAACTTAGGCTGGCTCTTAGTCATGCTTAAAGCTATGGTCTGGAGAATCTTTTCAAATAACTTCCGTTTATCCAAGGTGGATTCATGGGAGGTGGTAAATTTATCACTTCATCTCTGCTGTAGGCCTTTTGGTGTATTGCATGCATTCTAGTGTGTTATCGTAGAAAATAGTAGGGATTAATCTACTGTCACTCCAGCGTACATTACAATGATATATTATGCTGTTCTGCACTGATACGCTGTTAATGAGACGTTGTTTTTTGGTTGCTTGTGTATAGACATCACAGTCACTGTAAAACTTGGCTTAGTTAAGCTGCACTTCCTACTTGGCATTGTCACAGACTTTGCATGTTGTTTTGGTCAGATGTTTCATGTCAGGTGTCTTCCTGCAAGGCTTCAACCTAATCACAGGATCTACCTTAGTTATGTGAGTAGTAGCATTGATAGTGCCTTTTATTAATTTAAGAAAAGGTTTTTAATAGTTGTCTTTTTTTTCTAAACATAAATTCAGAATTATGTTAGTAACACCTGATTTTAAAATAAGGTGTATAATTTAGGAAGAGCAGCAACAAGAGTGTTGTCAATCTATCAGCCATTTATGAAGCTCTTCAGGATAACATACACTTAGATAGTCGTTGAAAAAGAAACAGAATTTCTAATTCATTTGCTGGAATTTGTTTACCTGATGTTCAGCTAATTAAGTAAGTGAATGATCTGCCTTTTAAATTTTATCGTGAACCAATCTTTTTCTGGGAACTCTTTTTCTTCTTCCCTCCTGTCAAGCTCATTGAAAGCTTTGTTCTTGGAAGGTAAAACCAGTGGTATAATAAACAAAAAGTGTTTTATGATTTGTAGTAAATGTCCTTCTGTTTAGATTATGTAGTAATGAAGTCAAGACTTGGGAGTTGTTGGCTTCTTTTAGCACTAGTTCATTGTGTTAGGGTTATTGTAGAAACAGTGTGAAATAGAAAGCAGTTTTGAAAGGAAAATGATAGGAGAAGGAAAAAAAACAAGCAAAGAAAACCTGATTTTCATTGTCTCATAAGTTTACCTTCATTTATTTGGGAAAGTGTCCTTCTTTACTATATTTCAGTTGATCATTTGGTCCTTCAGAGAGAAAGGTTAGCTTGTTGGTGTACAAATGACAAAGTATGCCATGATAGAATTGCTTTTCTCGGTTCTGAGATAGTTCTCTAATCTTAGAGAATGTTAAGCATAGCACTAAAATAATTTCTATGAAGAAAGTTTTCTGCATGTTTTCCCAAACTTGATATTTTGGTTTGCAATTGACAATTGTCAAACTGAATTTCTTAAGACTCTGTTTTGACATGTTTTGTTCTAAATATAATTTTTAGGTATACTTCAAACTGTCTTGCTCTGGTTACATGCATGAATGATGAGCATAAATTATCTTTCCTGAAGAAGATATTCAATCCTGAGGAGCTGATACATTTCAGACTGAAGTAAGAACTTTTAAAATCTCGAACGGTTTGGTTTTGTTGATGGCTTTCAGTTGAGTTAATAAACATGGCTTTCACAGGTTACTAGAAGAATCTCAGCTGCAGAACGTGGAACAAGCCCTTGTTTTGGCCAATCCAGACTCCTCATTTTGGCAAAAGGAGAAAGAACTGCAATATACACAAGGACATATTGTATCGGGTGACCTCTCTGCAAATGTAGTAGCTGTATGTGGTATTGTGCTGCCTAGACTACAGATTGTTTCTGAAGAGCAGGTATGTAACTCAGGGTTAAAGCTGTACCTTTTGGTTTTGGGTTTGTTATTTTAAGAATCCCTAAATGCAGTGAACTGACTTTATTTCCTGCTTAAATGATATTGTGATGCTACTGGTGATGTGTGTATCTCTAGGTTTCTTGATGTGTGCTGTAAGCTAGTGTGGCATAATACAGACACTGCAAAGACGTTCTGCAGTGGAATTAAGCAATGAAGGTGTAATAGTGCTGTTCATTTAATCTTCGTGTAGCAGTTCTTATGAACATACTGCAAAAGACTATTCAGCCTTACATAGTATCTCCAAAGTTAGAGTGATATTCCATAGCTGAGCAAAGCCAGGATCTGGCACAGTCGTATTTACCTCCGCGAAGTAGTTTTTTCTGCTATGCAGACATCTTATAAACAGCCTTTCTCCAGACATGTTTTTGATTCTTTTCCTAAAACAATAGAAAGCAAGGCTGCTACTTACTCTTCTAGGAGATAGAAGAAGGGGAGAGAAAGTGAACAAGAACTTGCTTTCTCCACTTGAGTGAAGTGTGATGCAGAATGTAGTGCCTTACAGTTTTAGGAAGTCCATCAAAGGCATAAACAGTTTAGAGCAAACAATATTCAACCTTTTTTCTCTTGAGATCCTCTTCATCTTGAACTGTTCAAGTTCTTTATAGCTGCAGCCAGTATTCTTGACTGTGTTTCTCATTTAGGTACAGTTTTAGCTCTTAGCTATTTCTATTTAATTTTGTGACACTGATCTACAAATGAAGGTCAAAGAAATGAATGACTACCAATGTCTAGAATTTCTTGAGTAGCGGAAGCAAGGAAAGAGGAATTTCCTCCAAAATTCTACCCCCCTCCCCAACTTCTGTAGTTGAACTTGCTGTATTCTAGCTTTTTTAATAGGATTGAAAGTGTGGTTTGAAATTCAATGCAGCAGGGGAAACTGTACAGCTGTTTAAGGAGATTCTTACTCCCATGCGAGTGTCATTGCTGCTGCAGCTGTGCTGAAGCTAGACCATGCTATAAACTGAATTGCTGAAAGGATGCTCTGTTTATGAGGGAGAACTTCCCCAAAAGGCATACTTTTATTTTTTTGATTGCCACAGATATTTCACTGATCTGGTATAAAGTGTAGTTCCAATTATGCTAGAGAGGTTCCAGTTACAGCTGACGAGGTCTGATGAAGAGGTAGGAGCAAACTGTGAGGAAGAACAGGTACTCTTAAACTAGCATTGTTACCAGAGAAGTACATGAAATTATGTCTGAAAAGATCATCAGACTTAAAGGCAAGACACTTGTTTTGGTGCAGCGTGTGCACTGATTTCTTTTCTCTGTGCTTTTTGGCAGGAAAGCACTTAATTTTTGTGCCATATACTGATATATAAGTGACTGTAGGAAAGTCAAATATATGGAGAGTATCTTTAGCATTGATTAATTACCATTCAATAAACTACATTAATTGTGTTTTGAATAAAATAAAAATGTTACTGAATTTACCTGTTTTTTTCCATGCACTGAGTTTAGTGATCTTATACTTTGGCCTGTGCAGGAAGAAGTAAATGCAACAGTTAATATTCATATTCGCATAATCTAAAGTTAACAACTATTTGATTTGTCCTGTGATTTGGATCCATTCTGATGACTTAATTTCGCTTACGTTGCAAATTGTATTTGATTGATATGTGTTGTGAATGAATAGTTACTATGCCTGTACTGACAACTTAGTGTAAACCCCCTTTGGGAACAAATTGTACATATACTTTATTAAGTGTTTCACCTATAATAGATTTTTGAAGAAGTCTATTTTAATATCTGTCACTGAATACAGCTTTAGAATCCTTTATTTTATTTGATATGTGTTGACAGATCTACAGGCCAAAATTTTGTAGTTGTCAAACTCACTTTAATAGTTGTTCTGTGTTGTACGACCTGGCGGGGGGGAAACAAACTAGTAACAATTTGTTAACAGTGTAGTAACTCAAATTTTATGTTTGAACAGGAAAATAACACCAGCCATTTTGTTTTGGTTGAATCTGTCGTCACAAATCTTCAAAACCTTGCTATTGCCGTGGCATATCAGAGTCCTGTCCTATTAGAAGGACCAATAGGATGTGGCAAAACTTCTTTAATTGAATATTTAGCAGCTGTTACGGGAAGAGTGAAGCCACCTCACATTTTGAAAGTCCAGCTTGGGGATCAAACTGATAGTAAGGTAACCAATGAAATTGTTTTAGGGTTGGATGATCAGACAGAATTTTTACTTCAAGCATGGATTTAATTTTCTAAAAAGATAATGTTTAACTTTTTACCCAAAGATCCCACAACCCCCACTCTGTAGTATTGGTCTCACTATTGATGAGAATAAATAAATATGAAGAAAAATCACAGTTAAGCTTCAGAAGGTTTTAAATTCTGTGCATAATTCTGCTGTGTCTGTTTCATTCAGATTATGTTTTATCAGGGTTTTTCTATGTGGAAGTGCCCTATTGATTTTTTTTAATTAAAAAAAATTGATTTGTATTGAAGAAAAAATGTTTCTGAAATGACTCAAGCTGGTGCTGAAGGCTGTAGGGACACTTATTTCAGTTTAAGTAGCTAATGTCAGCTTAATTTGATCCCAGTTTTTTGTGGTAAAGGTAAGATGAAGTAAGATCCTGAGGACACTTGCACTTACATAGCAGTGATCTAGCTCTATCTGTAGAGATAAAAGCAGAGTTGGAGATAATTTCACATTCTTCTGGTTTTAGATGTATAACTTTTGAACTTGAATTGATTTATGTTGTTTGGCTCGATTTATATTTAGTTTTTCAAGGTGGGCAGTATCTACTGGAAGTGCTATTTGAAGATTTTTTTTTTATTAGCATGCATAAGCACCTTCTTTAGTTCCATACAACAGCCGATTTCACTATCTCACAGCTGTTCTCCATAAGAGTATCTTTTAATATACATGAGTAAGACCACTGTGTTAAGAAAAAGTGATAAAGTTCAAGGTACAAAATATGTAGGAGTGAAACCATAAACTTAATTATTTGAGGAATGCTTAAACGTGGAAGTTACAACTTTACAGAGAAGCAACATTTGACTTGTTTTGTATCATTGAATAACTTGCTTTACAATTCCTCTTACTAGCTTAGTCACAGACTTTTCAAAAATGTAAAATAAAGTTCAGTGCAATCCTAGACAGTTTTGTATGTTATGCTGTTGATTGATTGTTAATTACGGTTGCACAGCTCTGTAAATTCACTTCCAGTTACCTGGTTCACTTTACTATGTTTCAGTTAGACTATCGTAGATGTGGAGAGGTGGAACTTTTTTTTTCTTAATTAAAAAAGTGTAATGCTGGGCACAGATTACCAGATGGACTTTTTAGTAATGTGGAGGCTAAGTAAGTGTTACTTATACCAACTTTGGTCATTTCTGTAAGTATTTAAGGGATGTAATGAGCAGGTCTGTAATTCACTGATTGTTTCCACCGTAGACGCTGCTTGGTATGTACCGTTGTACAGATGTACCAGGGGAGTTTGTGTGGCAGCCTGGAACCTTGACACAAGCCGTTACCAAAGGTCATTGGGTACTTCTGGAGGATATTGATTATGCTCCTCTGGATGTGGTATGTGGGTTCATGTTTGCTGTAAAGTACTATTGGTCTTAAGGCCTGTACTGGCAATTTTTGGAGTGTATTCACCATGAGTTCTGCAGCAGCATGCTGAAAGTGCTGCCCCTTTAAAGGGAGTTGAAAAAAAAAAAAAAAAAGCCTGTCAGTCTTCATTCACACTGCATTATTTTTTGTCATTCGTTGTTTTAGAGCAGTCATGATGCTGTCACTGATGCCAAATCTCAGTTGATTCGAATTGATACTGAAGTCTTTTAAATCATGTTTTAATGTTTGGAAACAAAAGTATCCCCAAACACTATAGAATATTGTCACTGTATTAGACTGATGTTGTTAATTTTTTTTTTTTTTAGTATTTCGTTGATTTGGTGTGGCATGTGTTTTTTTTTATTCTTACATCTGACTTGGACCTTAAAAATGCATTGTTACATTAGGCAGTGTACGTTTTAACAGATTTCCTGTTTTCAGCTCCAGAATGACTAGTTAGACTGTCATCCTTCCCTTTTGAAGTAATGGCTACTGAAGGCATGTCTCCTGCAAGAACAATATCATAGAGATGTTTTGCTGTATAGGCCTTCTGGATATTCTGCAGATAGTTGTTTTTTCATGACTCTTCTGTAAAGCATCCTCTGTGTGACTAAATAACCTGACAGCTTGTTTATTGGGTTGTAGGGTCCTGAAACATAGGGAATTTATAAGAAAGTCAAAAGATACTACTTGTATACACTAGACAGTTTTTCACTGCCAGAGGGTCACGCACTTATTTGCTTCTGAGGACTCAACTCATTGCAGTCATCATAAGCATGCCCTGAGTAATATCCTGCCTTCGTCTCTCCCTTTCTTCAGGTCCTCCCTGCGGGCATCCTGTCTCCTTTCTCCATATCAAAGTCTCTGTGCTCGCCTCCCTCCGTGCTGAGGGATCGTTGTGGTCCTACCTCACTTTTTTCCTTACACCATTAGTACTGTCCTTCTGCATGGAAGGATAGATTCTGTAAATATATACCAAATTCTCCTGGTGGTAGCAGCGTATACATTGAAAAATGTTGATGTTTGAGAATGACATCTTTGAGATGCAAGTCATCTGTGTTCAGGAAGATAAAGAAAATAAGGCTTCTGACACGAAAGTGTCTAATAATTCAGTTGACAATTCAAAATAAATAGTTTTGATTTGGACTTCAGTGTAAAGACTGCCTTTTCCATTCTCTTATCATTAAATTTGGATACAGGAGAAAGAAGATAGGTAAACATTGCACCCGTGACTTCCATTGCTAATTATAATTAGTGAGGACTCCGCAGTTCCTGTTAGCATCATTTGGAATTGCAATCTGTGGGAACAGCAGTTGCTGACAGTGTAGAGGTGCTCAGTGGAAGTGCTTCAGCGTCTCAAGTGTGAAATGAGTGTGGATGGGTGTGCTATCTGCTACAGTTTCACCAAAAAAAAAGTATAAATTTTCTTCTCTTCTCCAGATCTCTGTGCTGATTCCTCTGTTGGAAAAAAGAGAGTTGCTGATTCCTGGTCGTGGTGACTGTTTAAAAGTAGCGTCAGGATTCCAGTTTTTTGCAACAAGGAGGTAAGCTTCTAGAGTTAAATGAAATTGAGAGCATGGATATCCTGTTTTTAAGTCAAAGGCAGGAAATGTAAGGTACATGTGGAGGAGTATTTTGGCAATTTCCAGTTAACAAGCAATAGAAGCTGTAGAAGTTGTGAAAGGAATTTTTTCACTTTAGAGCAACCTTATATTACTATTGGGTGAATCCAGTCTTTGTACAGAAAGATCAGTTCAACAAGGCTGAAGGAGTGAAACTTGCTGGCAGAACCCTACAAACCCAACCCCTCATCAAAACAAAATACCTCTTCAGAAATTACTATGTGAAGAAGGTTTGTGATTCATATTCACAAGGTGTCTTGACTTGCTAGTTTTAACAGCACCTCTGTAAAATACTAGTTTTGCTGATCTTGGGGTAGTTGGTAGTCTGACTATTGAATGATTAGTTTTCTGGGTTTTGGTTTTTTTTATTCCACCTCCTTGAGCAGTTGTATACTTGTGTTCCCTAGAAGATGATTTTTTAAGTGTTTCATGAATAATTTTAACTGAACCCTGCATCTATAACAAGATAGTTATTTAATTTGGGAATCATGAAAAAAAGAAATGAAGAAAATTTTTAAAGAAAATCTGATTTGTGAAAGTCTCATATGTTAACATAGATGTTTGTAATATTTTCTAACCAGAAAAAGATTTAAGGTACTCTCCCTGCTGGGTTCACTGTAGTAATGGCTCATGCATCAGATGTCAAAATATCGTCTTGTATATTAAGACACAATATTATATCAAGATTAAAGGTTAGGATATCTAGAAGGGAAATGGTTACATGGTTTTCAAGTGTTTTGTAGTTTACTTCAAAGCCTTTAACAAATTTTCCTGCTTTTGTCTTCCATAAATTTGTTCTTTTCTTTGATTTCTCTCATCTATTTTTTCTGGAATTTAGTCTTTTGAATTCAACTATCTTTTAGTTGCCTCATTTCCTAAGATTTTCTTCTTCTGTACACTTGATCAACTGTTTGTATAGCAGCAAATTACAGTTTCCATTGGGCTAGGTAAAGCAGATTCAGTAAGTCTGTTGCAGTTTCCAGCTGTGGAATTCATGAAAAGGACTGAGCCTGAAGAATGAGGAGGAATAATCCCCTGTGATGGGGTCAGGAACTGGAGACACTTTTCCTACATCCCTGCAATAAAGCACAGATCCTTTAGGATCTGTGGAAGATATTTCCTAGTTTACTTCTGTCAGGCTCCTCTCTTTACAAAGGACTCTGCAAGTTGCTTCTGATAGACTTAACTTACTGTCAGTTGTCTTTCTGCAAGTATCTCTGAGGAGATTTTGCGCTACAGGGGGAAAAACACTGTGATAATAGAACAGATAATTTGAAAAGCAGCATTAGGCAAGGTAGGGTATGTGACAGTACAGTGGCAAACAGTGAGTGATCTGTGCGTGCGCATTATGCTGTAGCAGCAGTATGTAACATGTTCTGTGTGCAGGAAT